GATTTTACATCTGTGGACCAAATGTATAATAGCTTGGGAAATTTCACTATTGTAGGAAGATGTTGAGATAAATATGGATTCCATGTGTGAAATTAAAAATCTTATGTGTATTGTCCAAGGTCAATGGGATGCAATTTGATGAAAATCTCAACTTGGAGATCGTTTTACTTGAATTTGTGTTAAATGGGGGATATTGCACTAATCAATGTATAAAAAAAGATTTATTAGAACACTTATCTTCGTAGCCTTTATGATTCGAGCAATTAAGCCTGTAAGAGTCTATAAAACCTAGTGCTCTATGGTCATCTGACTTGGGAGTCATCGATCGAAAGTTTGTTATATAGGTTATTTAGAAAGTTTAAATGAGAGAATACTTCAAATAAAGAAAAAAATTACTCTTATGAAAAGAAAAAAAAAAAAAAAAAAAGAAAATCAGAAAAAACAGGTGCATAAAACAGAAGACGCATCAAATGCCTTGATTAAGTCTCAAACACTTGTTTAAGAAAATCGACTTTTGATAAGAGATTGTTAGCATAGTTAAATCCTAGAGATTGAAGCTATCAAACTTAATGGAGAATCCTTATTTATTGAAATGTTGAACTGCAATTGGTGAAATTTTACCAAACTAGAGAGGTGATGATAGTAAAAAAATATAACTATAGTTCACATACTGGAAAAGAGTGAAAAGAATAAGTTTGGGGGTGTGAATCTCACGAGTAATGAAAGAACATATTTGACCATCGAGGGTCGGGAATTGAAACGACGTATGAATTTATAATGCTATACTTAATTCTTAACACACACACACATCGATTTTACATTGAAAAAGTGAATTTTAATTTTTGTATTGTGATTTTGAAATTGTGCATAGATTTGATATTATGATTTCAATCCTTAGGTAAAAAGTCAGGTTAGCTAGCTAAATTTTATTGCTTTACTTGATTGACTGACTATCAATTAGGTAATTAGCATTGCTTGTTTGTGTGCTTGTTAAGTTCGAATTTTGTTTGAGGACAAACAAATATTCAAGTTTGGGGGTATTTGATAAGTGCAATTTGTGTACTTATTTGGATCAAA